GGCGAGATGGCGTGGGGGATCGGAGTTGGAGGCAGGGAGGGGGGAGGGAGTTTCTCGGGGGAGGCAAAAAAAAGTTTTCTCTCCTTTGCAAAAGGCGGGCAGGGCGCCCTAAGTCCAAGGACAATCCATGGAAGTGTTCGCTTCTTCACAAGTTGTGCAAACGATTTGTTAGTTCATGAGCCTAATTAGTGCGGGGATCACATAAACAGCTTCCTCCGATGCCTGGTAAATGGCTTGATGATTGGTCGCTATTACTCGCCCTGAGGTGGAAGGGGGGGGAGACTCTTTAAAGTGCGTCAGAGGGCGGCGAGCGCCTGGGAACCCGGAGGCCTGGATCGGCGCCGAGAGTGGAACGGAGTCGGCGCCCCGCCTGGGCCGTGCCGCCCCCCGCCTTGCGCGCTCGCCCCGCGCTCGGCTCCCGGCTCCGCCGCGCCGACTTGTCTTCTCCTCCTCTTCCCTCGCCTCCTCCTCTTCCTCCGGTTTTTCCTCCTCCTCCTCTTCCTCCCTTTCCTCCTCCTCTTCTTCCGCCTCCTCTTTCCCCACCTCCTCTCGAGCAGCCACCGCCTTCACCTCCTCCTCCACCACTCCCTCCGGGGCACCCTGGTCCCTGCAGAGTCCCCGACCGGCGCCGCCTCCGCAGCCGCCCCCTGGATCCGGAGCCGGCTACGCTTGAGCTGGTGGGACAGACTGACAAACCCGCCGTATCCTCGCGCCCAGCGCTCAGCCGCGGCAGTCCCCCGAGGCCCCGGGTCGGGGGAATTGGGATCGCCTGGGAACACAGCGAGGGTAAGCGCGCAGAGCGGGCTGGGGGCCGCGCGGTTCAGCCGCCCCAGTTCCTGGCAAAATTCGTCACCGTTTCCTAAGCTGGAAGGGATCCTAGGGCTTGGGGTTCTCCCACGTTTCCAAGTCAGCCGGGACGCGGCGGCTCGGGTCAGGGCGGTCTCGATCCTTGACCCTGTTCATTCGTTTACAAGTTGAGTCGCGCATCGCCAACCCATCCTGGATGGTGGGCTCCCCGCCCTCGCCCATTCTTGCCCCAGGCTCTCCTGCCTCCTGTCTGGGAGGGTGCTCAATTCTATCCCTAAACAGTTCCTTCTGGACTATCTGGGACGAAGGTCCAGGGTCAGGCGAGCTGTGGCTGCGGGGCACTACTCTTACCGCTCTGTTGTTAATTTTGTTACTGTTGTCATTATTATTATTATTATTATTACTGTTGCTGGTGGTATTATTTCTATTATTATCATTATGCCATTCGTTGTCCCTGGGGCTGGTGGCTGAGCAAACTCACAGCTCCAGAACTAGGGACTGCCGTTAGCTTCTCCAGTCCTATCCCCCTGTCCGCATTTTCGAGCTCGCCTTCAGTTTTGGGATGATTTTAGGGCCCAGTTCCCTCATCCCCATTGGCTCTTACGGCGGCATAATTATGATCACATCCCCCAGGCGGCTGGCGCTGCTCTCTGTTTATTGGTGGTTAAAGATCTATTATCTATTCATCAGCCGCCTCGTTTTCCCTTTTTTTCCTTTTTGCCAATTACATTCTTCTAAAGTGAAGTACCAGCAGGTATTTTGCACGTTTACAATTAATGATAAAAAAAATCTGGCGTCCTTTAAATTTATGACTCCGAGGCCCCTGTCATTTCTCTTAAGGACGCAGAAATGCCTGTTTGGTGACTAGATTGCCTCCAGATACTGGGAGAAATCGAAGGGCAGGAGACAGAAGAGCAAAGTCTCAGAGCGAGGTGGGGCAACGCCAGCAAATCGACCAACCCCGTCCCCTTTATGCTGCACTCCCCACCTATAGCCCTATAGCACTGCCCTTCAATATCCACAGTTCTCCCCGCCTGCATATTTGTGTTGGTCAATTTCTTGACTTTATTCAAGGTATAGTACTGGGGGGAGGGGATCAGAAAATGCAAGGGTGGGCACAGTGTTTCCCAGGGTTATCCAGTCCCAGGTCAGACTAATAGGAGGCAACCAGAGACCACCCCTTGACCTACCCAGGGTGCATACACATACTTATAGGGTCACACAAGGAGCAGGTGGGGCCACAGGCTTGCCTTTGTGCATGGAAGAGACATCCCCCTGCCACAGACAGTGGACCTCTGCCACATCTGCTGCGGACATGGGTCTGCCGATTTAGCTAGCACAGTGGTCCTGCCTTTGCAAGCCGTCTTTTTCTCAGGCCCAAGAATTCTGGGTTTTTGATTTGTCCCATGGAGTGAAACTGTCTTCCAGCCTCCAAAACATTGCTCCAGCTTGGAAATCCACCTTTGAATTTGCCCTGGGCAGGTGCCCCACCCTGCCCAGGCCAGTGGGGTGTCTGGAGTCACTGTCCGAGCACAGTTCTGCCAGCAACCAACCACCCAGCCCTGGTTGGAGTTTGGAGGTCAGCCTGGGGTTTCTGAAACACGGGGGAAAAAAGCCTTGACTTAGGCGCGGGGAGGGATTCCAGTCTCCAGGAGTTTCCTTCTCCCTTTGAACTTTGGGGAGGGTTGAAGGGTCAAGGTCATGTCTGGCCCTCAAGGCTGTGGATCCACAAGTCTGAGATGCACATTATGGGTGCTAGTAGCTCACCATGAGAAGTGGCCAGTAATAACAAGAAATAGCTGTTCCTTGGGCAATTGACATTAGTGGTCCTGGCTGGGGGATACCTGGGAACAGGGGTCGCCACCTCTGTCTAGGTGGTGCCAGGCCTGTGATAACATAAATGGCTTAAGGAACTGTTCCTGTTATGTAAACCTCCACCTGAACCCCCTAGCCTTCTCCCCCTTTCAGCCAGGGCCTAAGATCCTGAGAGCACTTAGTACAGAAAGTGCCCCCAGGGAATGTACCCCAATCGGGAGCCCAGATCCTCCAGCCACCTGCCCAAGGCTGGGACATTTGGCCAGGGCCCAGGACCCAGACCGCTGCGAGTCTGTCTCCTGAGCGGTGGCGTCTTCAGGCCACAGGTCTTGCTTGGCTTCCTAGTAGCTTCCTAGTAGTCAGAGGAGGAGAGAACAGCTGGAGCCCCAGCCCACTCTTCAGGCGGGAGCCAGGCACCCAGCCTCTCAACCCCACATGCTGCCGCTGACCCCAAGCCGCACTAAGAGGAAGCGGGATTCTAGAGAGCCCCGGCTTTCCCCCGGAACAAACCCGGAGCCCTTAAGCTATGCGTCTGACCGGAGAGCTCGGCAGGTTCGCTGCCCGGCCTCCGCGTGCGGGGGAATTAACTACGAAAGTGACTCATTAACCAGGATGGCGCGAGGAGGCCGCTCTGACGCGGGCGCGTGAGTTCGTCCTGGGCTGCGAAGGGCCCCAGAGCTCTTCAAGGGCCCTGTCTTGAGATACCTCAGCTGCCTCCTCTTTCCTGGTGGGTTCAGTCTGACCAGTGCTGTACTGGCGACACCTTTGTTCCATAAAAGCCCCTAAAGAGGTGGGTGTTTGGCAGACAGCAGGAGGGTGGGGGTGGGGGTCTCTGAGCCTTCAGCTCAGAGCCAGAGATCTCCCTCCAGCACCATCCCCTATCTGGGCCCATATAGCTCAGGAAGCTATTCTACAGGCAGCTGGAGGGAGGTTCTAATCTTGGATCTGACCCGAGCTAGGAGTGAACGTGGACAAGGAGCAATTTCTTTCAGACTTCCATTTTGTTTTCTAGAAAACTATGGCAGGCCGGTGGTGAGGATGGACAGGGGATGGAAGTCTGATGGGGGGAAGTGGAGTGCCCTGCATCTTACTTGTGGTGGCACACTTTCGATATATTAATCAATCCATACTCAGAACCTCAGAACGTGCACAGACAGAGTGGATTTTATTGTCCGAAACCCACTGGCATCCAGACCTTTCCAATTCCTAGCGGCTCTCTGTCCAGTTTCTGAGGCTGGCAATTTTTACTGGAGCAAAACAGCTCATGTTGCTCTCCGATGGGCCATACCTTAATAAATCTGTCTTCCCCACTCCCTCCAAAGACAGCCAATCCAGGGCTGCAGCTCAGCTGTGTGAACTTGAACAGGTTCGCTAACCTCTGGGTGCCTCTGTTTGCTCTTCTATGAAATGGGCTAAGCAATGGTAGTAGGTCCCGGGATTGCCATGAGGATTCAATGAGATAAGCCAAGCCAAGTGCAGCGCAGAGTGAGCTACGGGGAAAAGTTCGGTCCTGCCCTTGCTGCTGCTGTGCCCTTGTGTGGTTATTACTTGCCCAAACATGGGACTTGTTGCTAGGGTCTAGCTCTGGAACAATAAAGCTGTACAAACATAAGCTGTTGCTGGTCATACCCTCTGCCTTTTCTCCCCCAACCCCTTTCATTAAGTCAGGAGGTCCTGGAAGCCATACTTCTACCCCACCCCTCTCCCAAGGCTCCATACTTCTCTAGGGAGGTGTTAGGTGAGGAGCAGACTGGGATCCCTGATTCCTGGGAGGTATCAAAGGACGGGTTTTCTGGGGGTCCTGGCAAAAGCATCTGCTCCCAGTTTCCTGCCCAGCTCCCTGCTCTTTAGAGGTGCAAATGCCTGTGCCCTAGCCAGCTGGCTCCCCTGCAAGGTGCCAGGGCGCAGACTGCTCTCACTACCCCCCGTGAACTCCTCACCTGGAAAAGCATCAACAATACCTTTCCCTGTGAGATGACTGAGAACAGAATGGGTCTTAACGCGTGCCATCTTGGAAACGCTCACCAAATATTCCTTAGTATTAAGTCAAGGCCCCTTGCACTTCAGCCCTCCCTGCACCTGTCCAGCTCCCCGCGGTGGGGACCCTCTGGTGTAGCTGCGACCAGGCACCCGCCTCGCTGGAAGCTCAACCATTCTGCTGCCAACAGCCGATGGAGGGTGCCCCGGAACAGGGGGTGCGGAGGCTCGGCGTCCGGTTCAAACTACTTCCAAACCCCTCTGATTCCCAGCTACCCGGCTCCTCCGAACGCGCAGGGTGGCGGTGAGAAACGAAGAAAAGTAGAATTCATACCTGAAAAACATTGCTTAAAATAGCTTTTACGACAAATCCCTTTTTGGCTTCCTCCCCAGAGGCCGCGCGCCTACCAGGGGTCCAGATCGGCGAGCGCGCAGCGGCGCCTAGTGGCGAGGGCCGGGCGGTTGCTGAGAGAGGCTCTCGGCCCTGGGTGCCCCAAGGAGGGAGGGCCTGGATGGCGCCCACCGCCTAGATTCCCGTCCCCCAACCCTGGGGAGCACAGCTAAGAAGACCTCCTTCCTAGTGAGTTCTCCATCATGCTCGCTAGACGGCCAGCGCCTCCAGGAAGCAGGCTCCCTTACGATGGCCGGACGGGGGAAGCGTGGTCACGAATGCCAAGGTGGTACTACGCAATTCTCCCAGGCTCCCTGCCGGAGGCCGAGTCCCTAGCCAGACCACAGTGGTTTGGGGAATGCGGCGCCCTACCGGCAAATGTCCCTGCAGGCATGAGCAGTGAGGTCCAGGGAGCTGAGGTTCCCCCTCGCGCGGTAGGCTCAGGACAGGGGACTCCAGGTGGTCACTCTGGAGGTGTCCCCGCACCCCTGGACGCAACGGAATCACAGACTCTTGCTCCCAGAGCGCTCGGACCCCATCCATTCCGGGGAGGGGTGGAGGGAAGGCGATGTGAGGAGGTGGCGGGTCTTCTCGGGCTAAGCTGGAAACCCGTGTACTGTGAAGGCGCCCCTCCACCCCCACCCCGGAGCAAACTACTCTGGGCGCTGATTTGGAAGGGCTGAGCCCTCTCGGACGCTCACCGCCTCTGCGACTAGGCTCTGGCAGCTCTAGAGACAAATACGCTGTCCCTGAAATGTCGAAATGTGGCGGGAGCGGGGGAGCGACAAGCCCAGGGGAGATACAGCCTGGACCCATAGCTTCATGCGCCCAGGGGCCCCAGTAGGACCCTGTATCTCCACGGAAGTGCTCAATTTCTAGACGCTAACAAGCGGCGATTGGATTAATTGTTGAAAACAAAAGGCCAGAAGAAACAGGCCCTGGTCGGCTGTCTTAACGCCCTCCATTTCCACTCCAAGTCTAAGGCCAAGGCCGGTCAGGCAGGAACCATAGAAGGACACACCCACTGAACTGAGCTGTGGAACCTGGCGTGTGTGCGCTCCAATTCAGGCTGCTGCCTCTCTGCATCTGGACTGCCACGCCATCGTGAGTGGCTCTGGGTGCAAACGCAGGTGGGCTAAGGTGGATGGATCTCAGGCCAGCACGGGGGAGTGGGCACATGCCTCTTGATTCTCCTGCTGCCTTCTCCAGCATCCGTTTGGTGGGGACTGCTCTCTGCCTTCCTGGGAATGACATAGTCTCCTGGGGTCTTAAGCAGCAAATTCACCTTCTGACCCTGCGGCCCCAGGAAACTCCTGGGGTCAGGAATCCCTCTCCGGGCACTTGGTCTGCTCTTCCATGAGTTTCTTGGACTCTGGTTTTCTGGACTCCCTGGCTGGCCTGGCACTGCAGCCATTAGGAAATAAAGGCAAGAGGTCTTCACTTAGTTGCCCCAGCTCTGCTTGAAACCGGGGTAGTGTACTGAGGTGTGTGTGTGTGGGGGGGTGGCTCCGGGTCTGAGAGGACCTGGAGAAAAGACATCAATGCCTGCTACCCATTGCTCAGGATTCCATGAACCTTGGATGAGGCAGGTAGGGAAGGAGTCAAACTACCCATTTCCCAGAGGAAAAAACTGAGACCCAGAGAGGTTCCTTACACAAGCTGCCCAAAGTCATGGTGCAGGGATTACCCTACCATGGGCTCTGGGACCAGGGCCTCTCCTCACCACAAAGTGAGACCAATTTACCAGCAGTCAGGTCCCCAGAGAAAGGCAGGGAAGAGCCCCCAAAACTCCTTCTAACCTGTGAGACAAAGCACAGCTCCTTAAGGTGCCCCCCAGTCTCACAACCTGAGCCCTTGCTTCCAGTCCACTGGCCACCAATGTCATCCAGACCTCTTTCCCAGCTTCAATGATGAGCCCTGCCTCCTATTTTCAATCTCCCCTGTTTAGGGATCAGAGACCCCTGGGCAGCCTGGCCTCCACCTGACAGGGCAGTAGGGCCAGCAGTTCCTCACACTTTTGCCTACTCTTGTGGGCAGCTCTAAAAGGGCCTGGGCCATGGGACAGAGAGAGGCAATCAGAGAGGCAGCCTCAGGGCCCCTCAGCCTGTGTCCTCTGCATCTGAGGGCTCTACCCAGCCTGCACCAGGGGTTGGCCTCCAGAGGCCATAGAGACTGGAGGCTTCTGAAGAGACCAGTAAAGACAGGCCAGGCTGCAGCGACCAGGCGGCCTCTCACTAGTGAGGGGGAAAGACTGTCTAGTTGGGCTCTCTAAGCCGCCCCTCCTGACCACACTCTAACCCCGCTGCCCCTCTGTGCCCTGTACCCTAGGCTGCACTCACCGGCTTACTCCCCTAATTGCCCCCTTTCCGTGTCCTGGCTCCGGAAACAGGCACCCCACTCCCACCTTGCGGTCCAGGGCTCTCCAGAGGCCAGTGGTCCTGCGGGGCCCGCCTGTCTGCGCCGAACCTGCAAGCTCCCGGCCCAGCGAAGCCTAGAGAGGCTCGACCGCGGCCGCCCTCCTTTAGCCTGGCCGTCGGCCCGGCGCCGGGGCTGCGCGTCCAAGGGTGGCATCGCCACGGCACGGATGGGACCTCTGTGGTTCAATATTAGCTTTTCATTCCAGTATATTGTGCCCATCTGAAATAATATTGACTCTGAGGTGGGAGCCCGCTGACAGCACAGCTCCCGTGACACCGGCGGCGCGCGTTGCCCTGAGAGCTCGGGACTGCTGGTCTCAGCGGGCCGGCTGCGGATCCATCGCTGCGGCAGCGGGGTTGGGGGTGGGGGGCTGGGGCTCAGAATCCTGGGGGGGTGGGGGAGGGGTAGACCGAGGGGTTTGCTGCAGAGGTCGCTGAGAGCCAGGTACTGCCTTCATTCGCTCGCTCGCGCTCTCTCACTCTCTCTCTCTCTTGCGCGCGCGCGCGCGCGCGTGTACACACACACACACACACACACACACACACACACACACACACACACACACACACACACACACACACACTGATTTGGGGTTGCCAGTAAACCAACAGAGGCACCGAAGCCTTTGTCCCTGTAAACGGTGTACAACTCTTTAGGATAACTTCTCTGTCCGTGTGTTTTTCTCTTTCCCCAGTGTCAACACCGCAATTACCACCCAGCGGTAGCGGAGGGGCGGTTAAGGTCACATTTAAAACCTTGCATTTAATTTGGCTACCAACAGCCACCTCCCAGCCTACCCCTGGGGCTCCTCACTGCCCTGCCACCCACATTTCAAAGGGTATCAGCGAGGGGGCAAGTTCAGCCAACACAGGTTCGTTTCCATCTCCAAATTGCCTCTAATGCTCAGGTTGGAAAATGGCACCTTGGGTTGTTTGTCCTCTGAGACCGATCGCTGGCGGTTGTACACTAGAGACGCCGAACACCCCACGGTCAGGGATTGCCTCGAGGCTGGGTGGCACGTCCTGGGGACTCATTTATGAAATCTGATGCCTCCTCCCCTTATGAAAGACAACCTGTTAGCTCAGTTACTCTGACAAGAAAGGGTCCTTGAGAATCACTCTCAAGGCGGTGGGCAGGTGGGAACTGAGATGAGGCAGACCTGGTGCCATCGACCTGCAGGGACTGCTGCCCTGGGCTGAGTTGACCCTGGGTCTTGGTGAGACCCTAGCACCTCGGGAGGTGCCCTGGAACATTTCTATTTAAAGTTTATCTATCGCCTGTTATATTTTTACTACCTTATGGAGTAGAACATCCAGGTTGTTTTGTAAGTTCACAGTATTGTGTTGTTGAACTTACCATTTTCAGCTAAGAGTCCGGACAGTTTCTTATTCCATTACACATGATTTATCGTGAATCACATCTTTCTACATGCCTTAGTATGGTATGTGGTGTACAGCACTGCATGCTATATGTGTGTGTGTGTGTGTGTGTGTGTGTGTGTTTAGATGTGTGTGAAGGTATTTGGGAGATCTTTCATCTCCCACAAATACACATCTTGGTCATTTGAGTGCCACCTCTATTCAAACCACTTTGAGACTTAGCCGCAAGTCTTTATAACAAACACCTTAGGGTCCAATTTAGGCTCCAGGAAAAGGGGGTGTGGGAAGAGCAGGAACCACTCTGCCATGGGGGACAGAGATTCCCCTGTGGAAAACGGTCTTCCAAGTGTCCATGCGCTGGGGGCAGGGGAGGTGAAGGACGACGATGGCCAGGAGGAGGAAGACGGTGGTGAGACCCTGTAGACCCTCCAGCCTGTGTTGTGCTGGTTTCTGGAGAGGCGGCTCTTCTGCGGCTCTGACGGTGCTGAAAGGGGAGGTCTTGAATTAAAAAGGAATGCGAGGAGCGCAGTGTGTGCTCGGCGGAGGCGTCTGGGAGAGCAGGGGACGCCTTTCCCCTCGGTCCTGCGCTCCGAAGTGAAGTGGGAGAGCCGCAGCGCTCGGGGCTCCCGCGGGTCCCGCTCCTGCCAGCCGCCTTCTGCGAGCGAGCGCCGCGCTCGGCTGTTGGCCGGCTCGCAGATCCGATGGCCCCGACTGCAGTCTGCGATTGAGAGCTAAAATGAGCAGGCCGCGGTGGGGAGTTCCCCCTGGAGGTCGCGGCGAAACCGGGCCAGCGGAAAATGCATTCGGAATTTCCGAAGTCTGCAAGTTACCGGCCTCTTTAAAAAGGCCAGAGTCACACGAGGGATGGGGAGGGAAAAGCCAACAACGGGCAGTCAGGGAAATTTGGGTGGGAGGAGGAGAGAGGAAGCCCCGTGAGAAAGGTCGGAGGGGGCAGAGACTGCCAAGAGAGTGAACTACTTATTTATTAATTTTTTCTTTAAACGATTTAAAGCCAACCCCCCAGGTGACTACCTGGTCACATTTTCGCAGCTCAGAGCAGAGACACTTGGCCCCAGTTAGCCGCTCCAATTCCCACTGAGTCCAGAGTCCTCCCCAATCGGGCCAGTCCTCAGCCCTGGCAGAAGGGTTTGTGAACCTCCAGGAGAAGGTCTCCCTGGGGGTGGGGGGTGAGGGCGCAGGATCCGCAGATCGCTGTTCCAATGAGTGTAGAAGGCAAAGAGTGTCTTGGCATCCTCCCTAGGGGGGATTGGAGGATGTGCAGGTTGCACCCAGCGACACCCTTTCAGAGGGGTGACCCCACCATGCATGTCTATAAAATGTTTGTGCGGTGTTTCAGCAGAAATGTATTCGGTTTTTTCTTAAAATATCCCTGTAGTTCCTTTTAATACAGTAAAAACATTTTTTCCCCCTAAGACCCACTCCCCCACTTACATGTAGCAATGTATCTACAGGGTTAAGACTCTGTGCTCATTTCCTTTTGAACTTTTTGAATCCGCCCTGGGCAGAGCTGTCCTTATTACCTCCTTACAAGGCTGCTTCCAGTCACGTGGTTCCTTCTGCAGAGCACCTCCTGGAAGCGCCATTGTTGTTTTCCTCCATGCCATTCTGCAGAGCAGCTACTTCTGTCTGATGCGCTGGTGTTTCTTCACCTACAGCACTGTGGTCCTTGTACTTATGAACCTATAGCACTAGCATTTGGGAAATGAAGTCATAATTAAAGGGAAAGGGGGAGAAAACGTTTACAAACAGACTTCCTCCAAGTGCCTAAAAGGGTTGCCTTTCATAATGCTGTTGTAGAATTGAAGAACACTTTTGTTGTGGGTAAACACAGAAGCTAAGAAATACTATATTTGAGCCATTCACAATGATATTGATCACATATTAGTTTTAAATGGGCAATTAAATCTGTGATTAAAATGGATCGTAAACATTTTGAAGGATTCTGGCAAGGGACCCCTGGCAGTGTTGTGGAGTTGGCATTAAGCTACTAACCAACAAGTCAGCAGTTCAAAACCATCAGCCCACCTGAGGGCGAAAGATGAGGTTTTCTATCCCCATATAGATGTACAGTCTCAGAAACCCACCAGGGCAGTTTTGCCCTTTCCTATAGCAGCGGCTATGAATCAGAATGGATGGGCTTATCGGTAATGAGTGGAGAATTCAGTGTGATCTGGTATGGGAAGAGGTCCTGGGGGTGGGGAATGCAGCATGAGTTACCAAATTGATGACACTACTAACCCTGGTGAGAGGCCTAGGGGAGAGAGGGAGGAGTCTTTATATTGCTAAAAATAAACCAAGGCTGAGGTTTACTCTCACTCCCAGCCTAGACTCTGAACTCCTCAGGACGCCAAGCCAGCCAGATGAACGGTGGAGTCCAGAGCCAACCCTCCGGACAGGGATCTCCCCAGATGGGGCTTGGTCCATTTGTAGCATGCCCTCTCTAGGTGGTTCATCTTCTCCGTGCCCAGCAGTTCTTCTCTCATGGTGTGGCCAGCACATTTCCACACTTGTGATCCTTGTTCGAGGCCCTGGAGTCCAGGCAGACAGGCTCAAGTGTGCGGGGTGCATATTGGAGTGGGTTTCATCGCTTCTTTGCCACCAGCACATCTGGCACGAGATGGTCCATTTTGACCCGGGTGGACCCGGCCTAGAATAGGCTCAGTGCCTATTATGAGGAGCATGGGCAACCCTCCCAGGAACCCACTGAAGGGAATTCAAGGCCCTCCCCGCCCCCCACAGCCCCCATCCCATTTCCCAGAGGAGGACACTAAGGCTCTGAAGTGCTAGGGGGGCTCACCCAAGGTCACGAAGAGCCAGTGAGTGAGCCTAGATTCCGATCCAGAGCTAGCTGGCTCCCACAGCTTCCCGCCCTTCTTATTTCCTGTCCAAATGTCCTCTTTTCTCCAGTGAGGAAGTCAATGGCCACAGGGTGAGCAGAGATAATATTTTACTCATGAGTCACATGCACAAAAAAGGCAATGATCATAGGATAAAAGCCTGAAGTCCACATCCCCCTCCAGGATAATTATTCCATGTCTGGCAAAGACAACAACCAGCTGGCATCTGGGCAGCCTGGGTTGTTCACAGAGATTTTGCTCACACCTCACCTCTTCCCAACCCTGTGGCGCAGAGGGACCACTGTTCCTACCCTCATTTTGGAGAAGCAGAAGTGGGCCCTTCCATTCAAAACCCACTGCCACTGAGCTGAGTCCAACTCATAGTGACCCTGGAGAACAGAGGAGAACGGTAAGGCTGTGATTCTTACAGAAGCAACCTGCCACATCTTTCTTCCGGGAGAAAGTGGGTTCTCACCATGGACCTCTTGGCCAGCAGCCAGCTGAGTGCTTAACCACTATGCCACCAGGACTCTTCGGAATGGGCTCGGGGAGACGAAATAGCTTGCCGGGCTGCCCAGTCAGTCCACAGTGGGGCCCTGGCACCGGCCTGGGCCAGCCCACTCCCAGCCTCCTGGCTGCGCAGATCCCACACATGGGATCACTTAGCCAGCAGAGTTAGGTCTTGCTGTTGTGAAATTGCTAGGTTGCTTTCTTTTTTCACGTTTTAACTGTTTGTGCAAATATTCTTTCGGGATCCAAATTTTCTCTTCTTGCATGCCTCTCTTCCTCCAGGTGTGCACCCATCTGTATTCTGAGGGCATCAAGGACACAGGGCAACAAGGTGCCCCTTATCTATCTGAGGTCAAATGGCACGCCGACAGACATCAGAGCGTGCAGGTGTGGTGAGCAGAATCGTCAACTCTACATTTTGCTTTACACATAGCAATAAAGCTCAAGTGCATGGCCAAGCGCTTAAAACATTATGTGTGAGTGTATTTACACACACGGAACTTGAAGTAGAAGTTTTAGCCTTCCCATGCAGGAAATGGCTCCAGGGTGTGACCTTGTGAGGAAGAACCGAGCCCCCAGCACCAAGGCTGCTGGGGAACGGGTCCTCGCTCAGCCTTCAGATGGTGGGGCCTCCACCACACACTCATTCTTCAGCTTGCTGGCTCACTACACAACAGCCCGCCCTGCCCCAAGGCTTGTTTTATCCCTTCTCATGGCAAGAATCACTCTTTGTACATGTATGTATGTATGTGTATACACCTATACCACATATACTCATACAGTTATCTTTATATTAGATAAATATGGGTGGGAAGGTGGGGGAGGGAGGACAAAAAAGACGAGCAGATACCAATGGTTCAAGGAGAAAGAAAATGTTTTGGAAATATTGATGACAACCTATGTACAAGTGTGTTTAATACAATTGAATGATGGATTGTCATAAGATTTGTAAGAGCCCCCCTCCAATAAAATGATTAATTTAAAAAGGCAATTGGATGCTCCAGGTGATCCACATCTTAAAGTAACAGTCACTGAAATTCTCTCTATCAATAGGCCAAACTCTCCCGATATGCACGGTGGGGTGTTGTTTTTGACATCTTAAAAAAATAAAAGAGATATGTCTACAAAACTGTTACGACTGCCTCTCTGTGAATAAGAGAGGTGCGTGCTATGTGATTCCATTTACATGACGTTCCCAGCCGGCAAGAGCCATCAGCAGATATCAAATTTCGAACAGGGGCTATTTCTGGGAGAGGGTTTGACTGAAAAGAGAACTTTCTAGGCTGTTAGGAACCTTCTGTACCTGGGTTTGGATGATAACGCTATGTGTGCCCAGGACTGGCAAAACGTGTGGTCTATATACTTCAGACCTATGCACGTTACTGTAAACGTTGACACTTCCACCAAGAAGACAGAGAGGGAAGGGAGGGCTCTTGGACAAACATCATAGCAAAAGACCCAACTGGAGAAACAAGCAAGAAGCAAAGGACTGGGCTAAAAGAATGAGATGTTAAGCCAAGACAAGCCACGGACAATAGCTGGAGTTTTACAGGAAGGATAGTGGGCTTGGTCTACCTTTTCATAACAGTCCCCTTCAATTCAAGATGGACCCATCCTTGCATCCTTAAAAGGGCAACACAAGCATTCGCTCCTGCTGGGGCCCACCATCTGTCAGTAGTAGGCCCTGTTCCTTGGTGCTTTACACCCCCCATCCGCGCCTCCCCCCGTAGTAAACATGAGGCACTGTGTTTCCTGTTGAGGGTGGGGATCTAAGGAATCCTAATAAGAATCCATGCCGGAGCCAAGAGAAAAGATAGAAGACCTTAATTTTTAAGCAGATTATGTAACAGCAAATACTGTCTTTCTCAGTCATCACTTGGAACTCAGAAACTTTTTCCGCATAGAAATAATGTTATAAATGACAGTCCAGGTTCAAGTTTCTCTTCCAGAAAACCGATGAAGTGCTTGCTCATGAAAACATAGAATTTTCATTTTGGTAGGAGCCTAAGTGGCCTTGATTCACCCTGATTGCATGGGCACGGCGAGCATTGGAGAAAGGCAGCATCCCTTCTCCCTCCAGCCCTGAGCCCCCACAAACACATACCCGCTCTCTACCAAGCACTAGGTTGGCATTTGAGAGTCAAAGAGGAAGAATCCCACGGTTCTGTTCCTCAAGAAGCTCACAGCCCAGTAGAGGAAGCGGTTCTTGGAGATCAGTGGGGGCCAGCGAGGCTGTCGGGATGAAACAACAGCCAGATAAGATGGATGCTGGCAGGCAAGGGGACATGCTTTTGAGCAGAGAATGGTGGGGCGAGCAATTAGATGGGGACCTTAGAGGGGTCCTAAAGGGATTGTGGGGCACTTGAGGGGCAGTGGCTGTCGGTCCGATTCCACTGTAAAGCATCTACCCCTTTTCTTTGTTTTTCACCGCTCCCAGAGCACTGTTGCTGGTTTTATCGGTCAAGATTCCAGAAAGCAAACTCGCGGTCCGGAGCTGATTCTGACTCGTAGCGAGTCTATAGGACAGAGTAGAATTGCTCCTGTGGGTTTCCAGACTAGCTCATAGTTCTCTTGTAGAGCGTGGTTGGTGGTTTCAAACTGCTGGCCTTCCAGGTTAGCAGCTCAATTCTGGGCTCCTTATCAGTTAATAATGGAGCCCCTGTGGCACGGCCAGCGGTGAAAGATGAATTCCCTAGGGAAAAAGAAAGAAAACAATTAAAGGTAGGAGAAGCCAGGTCTGGAGACTAGATCATTCTGGTTGGACAGCCTGCTGCAAATCTGCCTTTCCTCTGAAGACGGCCGAATCAGAACCGAAATTTCAACAGGACCCCCAGGTGTTTCTCTTGTAGGTGTACGCCACAAATAAGACTCACCTGGGCAGAGTGTGCTCTTCTAGGAAGCCAACCTCCACACCTTTCCCCCTATGAGTGGCTTGTGGGTTTCAACCTTGACCTTAGCTCCTTTTGGTTCGCAGCAGAGCGCTTCAACCACTGAAGCACTAGGGCCCTTGGGGGATCTTGTTAAAACGTCAATTCTGACTCAGTACCTCTGGGGTTGAAATGCTAATTCTCACCAGAATTAGCAGAGTAGTGAAACAGAAAACTCACAAATCTCAACACTGGGGAATGAGGAAAAGCGCAATTTCCGGCTTTGGCCACCAGATGGCGGAGCTGGCTTAGGATAGCTTGGTGGTTGTCTTCAAGGCAGAGTAGGTTAAGAGGCACTGAACCTTTAAAAGTATGGAAGTATGGGACCACTTAAAATCAGGACTTCGTATCATTCAAGGATCATTCAACTGTATGTATATGTGTATGTGTATGTGTGTGTAATCTATATAGATAGTTTTCCTTCAAATTGTCCTGCTATTAACAGAGCAACAATGTACTGTAAATGATGGTCTTTGCCTTCCGAGGAAAGCTGGGGAAACTAGACAACAAACTATTACTTAATGTGATCAGTGCTCAGACACAAAATCTCCTGTTTGTTTGTCTTCTCCTGATGGTCAGGAAAAGTCTACTGGAGCTTATACATAAGTGACCCAGCAAGGAAATATTTACACTGTATCTTCCCAAGAAATTCCTTTGGGTAAAAGAAGATGCGCACACCCAGAAAGTGTCTAAAGTCTTTAAGGCATTAGTAGGCAATGAAACATGGTGGGTGGTAGAGGGTGGGTTATTGATCCTGGACAGGTAAGTAGAAAGAAAACACTGAGCAAGGACAAGCATGGGAACAGTTATTCATCGAGCACTGAAGGTGAGTACTCACAGATATTAGCATACGTAGTCGTCCTAAAAGCCTTCAAAGGCAGGCATATGCATCACCTTTTCACAGACAAAAACAGAAACAAAAAACGGAGGCTCATCAAGGTTCTGAAATTCTCCAAAGACGTACACCCTTAGCAGGGAGAGAGCAAGGGTTTGAATCCTTGTCTGTCTGACTCTGGAGCACGGGCATAGGGCCCCTTTTTGCCAATAAATTGGGGTGCTAACAAAACAGAAAGAATGGTTAAGTACTCAATTGCTGACTGGCAGGTTGGCAGTTCAAACCCACCCAGTGTTACCATAAAGGGAATACTGGGTGACCCGTTCTTTTAGCAGTGACAACCTAGAAAACTCTGCAGGTAGCTCTCCTCCGTCCTGGGCCACCGTGGAGTGAGTTCGATGGCAGGGCACCCAACACCAGCAGCGCCGTCTCCCACAGTTGTTCTGGAGCTGGAACATGATCATGGAGGGAGGCTCTTTGGTGAAAGGTCATAACAGCTGTGCTGTGTCTTTTTCTCACTAGCCGGTCATTCCTTCAGGAAGGATAGGCCGAGCCACGGAGACACAGTGAGCCAACCAGGCAAAATCTCGCCCCTCCTGAAACTGGCATCCCCAGTAGGAGGGCCTGCTGACACGAAGAGAAATCAGTCACGTGGGAGAGGCAGCCGGATGAAAGCTGAACAAAACTCATTGCTAGAATATTTTTTTAATAGAAAACAACCTAAATGCCTTTTATTGGGTAACTGGTTTTTAAAAAAAATCCTGTGATATTATAGAAAACATTGCAGCTGTTTAAAAGAAACTCCAAGAAAGCTCATTGCTACCAAATCAAATCTGACTCATAGCACCCCTATAGGACTGGGTAGAACTGCCCATGTGGGGTTCCGGGGCTGTAACTCTTTATGGGAATAGAAGGCCTCTTCTTTCTTCCACTATGAAAAGAGAAGGCCATTATTTACACGTAGAATTACAGAATAGTCATCAAGAGCTCTTAATGGGGGAAAGGAAAGTTCCAGCAATATACAGAATATGATTTCATGAATGTTGAAAGTACATGCTACTTACTTGTGTTCATGCACTGTTTAGTATTCATGTGCTAACACATAGTATGTATGTATATTGTTGCTGCTAGTTCGGACTCATAGCCACCCTATGTACAACAGAACATGTGCATCCTTAGATCTAAACACACAGGAAAGTTCTGAAAATATATACCCCTGGCTAACCATGGTGCTGCTTCAGGACAGGCATGGGAGGTTATGGGGGGAGAGCGTGTACTATCCTTTTACTGGCTACAGTATTCTTCCTTTCTTACTTAACTTCTGATAATTCGAAATGCATTTGTGTGTCTCATATAATTAAACAAGGGCACACATGCATGTGGGTACAATTTAGGTTTAGCAATGTGATTATGGGTGGCAATCATTACCCTTATAATCCCCTTTAATCTTGTTTTAATATGTCTATAAAGAGATAGCCATATGAAGGTGCTTCAAAGAGTTTGTGGACAAATGGAATGAAACATTATGGAATTTTCCATGCACGTTTTGGAAACCCCACTAGTCCAATAGATGAAATGATGCCCCAAACGGGGCTTTGAACTAGTTCTTCTGGTTCAACTCCCTCTGTTGAGATTTTCCCTTTCCATGCCAGATAGACTGAAGTAGCACCTACAGTTGAACCAGATCTGCAGGTGAGTCTTCTGTA